GTATTGTGGATGAATAATCTCAGTTGTTCTCCTGACTGAAGTTTGGCCCGTGTATAGCATCCTGCTATGCGATTGCATTTGTCCCTGACCACCAGAATCCCTCACGTTAACTTTTATCGAGTGGAAAAAAGTTGGCATTCATCCTCCAGCTTCACTGTGCTAATGTTATGCTAACATAGCTGTGTTACTAGCAATCAGGTAGCACAACATTATATACCAGGTAGTCCAACTTCAGTAACCCTGCAAACGCCACTGCTGTTTAGTTTTCTGTCTTCATTTATGTTGGAAGTGGTAGCAGAGCTGTACGTTTTAATTAGTTTCAAAAATCTCTCAGTCAGAACATGGTATGTCATGTTTAGGTGGAAACTAGCGAGCTAACTTTCTGTTAACTTCTAACTCCGTTAAATTTAATAAATTCTGTTTTCATGGATGCCTGGATGTTAAACTTAATTGTTACACCTGGTAAGCAGCAACGCTGATAATTTTATTAAAGATGAAAGAATTTAGACCGTTTTTAACTCTCAGTGTTCGTTTGACTTTGGGACCTGAAGCGGACAGAGTTTTGGACCCAGATTACTCCGCGAAGCTCCTCACTACGGCAGCCGTAATGCTGTGACAATCCATCAAGCAGTGCGGCTTACCAAAGTTGTACTAAAACATTTTTTAACAGATTTCTGCACGCCAAAATCGGTTCGAGGTCAATAAGCACAACCAGAATTCATACATAAGGCACACTCTCGATTTTTGAGAAAATTAAAGGATTTTAAGTGTGCCTTATTGTGTGGAAAATACGTTATACAGAAGAAAATAATATATCGCGATATATATCGTTACCACACGTGCTTCAAATTATACCGAGATATGGATTTTAGGCCATATTGCCCAGCCCTACTTTACACTATACACAGTCATCCACCCATTCACACACACATTCGCACACAGAAGGAGACAGTGGGACAGCAAAGAGTATAACAATAAACAGTAAATGTGTGTGGGTACGGCTGGGTGCTGAAGAAAGACATGAGCTGCTGTCCATGGTGTTGAAACCAGTTTGAGCACATTTCTAAAGTGCATATTATTCATGATTGTTAGGAATGTTTTCTTTAAAAAAAACAAACACTATATTTAAAAAAAGGAAAAAATGCTTTTTTACTTTGCTCCGAGCACTGTGGTTTGTAATACTGATGAACTGTTTTGGTGTGTATGTGTGTGTTCGCAACCCTTGGACTCTGACCCTCTGCCCTCTGACCTTCTGACTGCTGCGGTCTTGTCACCTGCCTCGTGGGGGGGGGGAATAATCTGCACAATGGCAACAATGACTCCTCTTCTCCTGGATACTTGTGTTTCGTGTCCCGGGTTCAAATACGGTAATGTTGAAACCTTCTCCACCTAATTCTGGGACAAATACGTTTCTTTGCACATCTCTGCTTGCACCTCTGTCCTTCCATCAATCTAAAAAAAAATTTTAAATCTACCCCCACTCTGGGATCATACCACATCATTCTCTATGGTAAATCTGTAACTCATCACACATTTCTCTTCCTGCGATCTGTTTGGTTTGTGACGGTTATGTATGCTCTACAAACCTTTTGATTTTTTTTCTTTTCCTCTCCATACATACTTGCTCTGATGCAAATGGCTGAATAAATGAATGAATGAATGATTGTTGTTTCGGGATTTTTGCGTGGTTTTGGGTCATGGCGTGTATGTCTTTGAATATGTTTCTGTGGACTTTTGGCTGCCTGCCATTGTCATGTCTCGTCTTGCCTCGCCTCACCCGGCGACTAAAGAAATCGATTCGCCTGCGAGAGGAAGCACTGGCTAAGGAACAGGTCAAAACTAAGAGTGGCCAGAGCAGTGCTGAAAAATTACGTAAGATCTTAAAAGAGGAGAAGAGGTAAGCTGACCGATTGATTTATTCACTTAAAGCTAAAAGAAAGGCCACTTCCGTTAAGGACAGCCTCATAATACCCCGTCTGTTTTACCAGAAAAATATTATCAGTACATGTCTTCTATTTTTCAGGATGAAGAAAAAACGGAAGAGATCATCCTCCTCCTCATCCTCCACTTCTTCAAGGACATCCTCCTCCTCCACATCATCATCGTCCTCTCGCAGGCAGTCTAAAAAGAAGAAAAAGAAAAGGAGGAAATCAGAGCGTGGAAGCAAGCGCCATCGCAGGATCTCCTCAAAGGAGAGCAGGAGAAGCAATGAGGGTAAGAAAGATAGGAAGGAGAAAGAGGAGGATGATGAAGTGGAGTGGTATCCCGCACCTTCCAATACCTCAGCTACTTTTCTCAACCAGGTGGGAGGCCTGGGGTTTGGAGTGAGGGACGAGGAGCAGGTAGAAGGGAAGGATGCAGATGATAGAAAGAGTTTCAAGCTGTACTCGCTGTCAGCAGCTTCAGAAGAGGAAGAGTCTGACTCCTCACAGAGAGAAAGAAAGGGAAGGGACAGGGAGGAGAGCAGGACGAAGAAAACAAAGAGCAGCCTGAGCAGAAGCCCAGATAGAGAGAAGATTAGGAGCAGGAGTAGAGAAAGGAGGAATAGAAGTAGGGATGGTGACAGGAAGAAAGACAGAAGAAGCAGTGACTCCAAAAGGAGAAGTAGTTTAGATGAAAATTCCAAGCGGAAATTATCCTGCTCGTCAGGAGAGTTGGAGTATTCGGGTCGTAAATCTAGTTACCGACCTGAGCATTCAGGAAATTCCGCTTCCAAACACCCAGAGAACAGGAATGACTCATCATCTAGGAACCTCTTTGAAGAGAATAGAGGGAGGCTGGAAGTTCACGGAGCAGATCAGGTGAAAAGAGAGAAGGAAAGTCAAATGGAAGAAGGTACCATGCCAGATCAAGGACACAGTAAAAAAGGAAGTGCTGGAAATCAAAATGAACAGTGCAGCATGGGGGCCAAAAAGGACCTCCCTGCAAACCTGTTGGATATTTTTAACCAGATTGCTCAGTTTGAGAAGGAAAAAGGAGT